CGTGCGTGCGTGCGTGCGTGCGTGCGTGCGTGCGTGCGTGCGTGCGTGAGTGCGTGCGCGCGCGCGCGCGCGTGTGTGTATGGTGTGTATGTGTGTGTATGTGTGTGTATGTGTGTGTGTACGTATGTGTGTGTATATGTGTGTATGTGTACAAATTTTAGGTTGCCGCCATCGACTGTTACAATTACATCGAAACGCTTTGCAAGGAAGACATGATAATATCGTCTCGCCAAGACATGAAGCATTGCCTAGTTGGCGACCACCTCAACGCAACCGAGGATGAATTCGTCGAAACAATGGAAGTAGTGCCATCTATTGGTCATAAGGCGTCATGCGGCAACACCAGGTATACCAATCAAACTATCACTCGTAGCCTGCGAATACAACGCTACTCGTTGATTCTTACGTAAATGCGTGTCAGATGGCTATAGAATCACTTCAATGGCAATAGCCAGCGCATATAGTACCAATTAGATAGTAATCTGAAAGCATATACTACACGTGCGCGGACTGAAACTAAACTCTCCACACATATTTTTTTCGCTACAGGGGATGGGTGTGTGAGGTGTACGAGGGCCTGAGACCGCAGTACAACGAAGTCAAATATACAGGTAGGGGATAATTCAACAGTGGCAGCCCGCGTCACCACTGCGGCAGTATATAGTAGCATAGAGGTGTTACCCACGTAGTAGTCGTAGATATGTAAGTCTAAACGCCCACCGGTGGCGGAGTAGATCAATACGTACTATGATTGGGCTCAGGCACGGATGAATCCCCGCCAGTAACATGTTAATATACCAGGAGTGTATAATATAGATATTATATTATTCTATTCCATTATTATAGATTATTATATTATTGTATTATTATTTTATTGTAATATGCCTCTTCTTATATAACATTAATAATAATGTTATACACTCCTGTTAAATAGACTACGCCACGAATTTTCTGGTGTATATTTTTAAAAAATTTGTTGCCATTTTTTTACATTAAAAGTAAGTACTAACGGGACTAAATGTATCGTCAAATTCTTACCTGATAAGATTGTTTCTCAACTAATTAAAAATCCAAAAAACCTGGACGATTTGATATTATGATCCTGACATTAATTGCTTGCTATGGGTTATGTATGAGTCACGAGTGTATGTTTACATCGAACAATATAGTAAAATAGGAAGTATAATGCAGCAATTTAACCATAAAAAGTGAACAGAATTACTTATATTTTGTGAAAAAGCGACAGGAAGTATAATGCAGCAATTTAACCATAAAAAGTGAACAGAATTACTTACATTTTGTGAAAAAGTGAAAATAATTTTTTTCACTTTTAACTATTTACGGTGACGTAATCACTTTAAAACTATACACGCTAACGCGCTGTTGTCGTAAATAATTATCTCAGGTGAGAAAGCTGGCTTCATCAACTATATTGGACAAGATCTCGTTGATCTTTTTGACAAGAATCTGCACAGCGATAATATAATCCTCTACAAGATGCAGATCGTCGGCCCCCTGGACCACGTGTGGTTGATAGAGCAGCACCCAGGAAATGAATACAGGTGATTATATCGTATATAAAGATTTATATATATATATATATATATATATATAATGAATTATCCGTTGTTCCTGACGGTGCGAAAGCGAGGCGGATATTGCAATATGCGAGGCAGTATCACCGATGTGCTTCCAGGCTTTCGATGCTTTAATCGTTGGGTGAGATGTTCACAAACACGATAACTATTTAACGCGCCTTCGTTGTTGTCGAACTTGTGGGCCGCGTTTTGTCTTTGATCAGTGACAAATCATATTCCGCTGATTTTCGGGGATTAGAAATTATATAGTTGTTGTGCGTGGAGTTGGCAATATGCGACAATCTCCATACGTATGTGTGTGTGTGTGTGTGTGATCACATATATATTTACTATATAGGTACAGTGTAGTCAGTGTCAGTTTACACATGAATCAATTCAGTATTATTTACCAAGAGTAAATATTCATTTCAGCGACATCGCTAATTCCGACATCAACATTTACGTTAACTGGGAAGCAAAAACAAACGTATAAACCTATAATAAGCTACTGATAGTCAGCCTGCCCGAAGCAATTCAAAAACAGTGCAAACAAAAAGTGTGTATTTTAGCGTTTCGACATTTTCTGACAGCCAGCGTTGATCGTACTATCACGGGACAGTAAAGGCAATGCAACGTTATACCGCGTATCATATGATCAGGAGTGTATAATATAGAGTATATATATATATATATATATATATATTATACACTTCTGATATGTTATATCGTAATCGGTGGTTCCCTGCAGGGTGTACCAGAGCTATAACGGAGCCTACTCGCTCTACGCATGGTTGTCTGACAACACGGCCGGCATGTTCGGCACACACATCATCGTCTGGGATGACGTCATCACTATGGCTAACGACTTCCTCATCAGCTACGGCTGCACGCTGTGGACGGTCGAAGATTGCCCCGACGGTGTGACAGACGGCGCTCTAGGCGAGTGGCTTGTCTACATTCGGGACTACAACGAAGAGGAGATCATGAAGAACTTCGAGACTGCCTGGGAGCACATCGGCAAGGGCGTCTTGTTGGACAAGGCGGACTTCTACGACATGTACCTGTACAAGCTAAGCGAGCTGACGGCGAGCATTGAGTCGATGGTGGGCACGACAACGCTGTGGACGCAACATCAACACGACACGTGGATCTCACTGTTTGCCAGCCCCAACCCGCTCTGCTACCCCGGAGTGCCCTTCAACATGCTCACGCCCACCACTAACGGACCGTACGAGATGCAGGTGAAGGTGGACGCGTTCGGAGCTGACTCGATGCTAGCCGACTGTGACGCGAATTTCATCATCATCGGCGAGTCCGTTCCTAATTGGAGGAACACGATGAACGCAGCAGGCAGCTTCTCATCCGCAAGTCTTCTTCGTGCGTGCATGGGCAGCATCGCGCTCGGTCTGGCGGCGGCGATGAGGCTGTATTAATTTTTCAGAAAAAAACATCTATCGAACGATATCGACGATGATAACGATCGCCCGATAATAATATTTGGTCCTAAATAAACCGAGCTGATTTTGATCTCTGTGGACAGACCACTGAGACCTCTGAGACATCTGAGACATCTGAGATCTCTGAGATCTCTGAGACATCTAAGACCTCTGAGACATCTAAGAGCTCTGAGACATCTGAGACATCAGAGACATCTAAGACATCTAAGACTTCTGAGACATCTGAGATCTCTGAGATCTCTGAGACTTCTGAGGCATCTAAGAAATCTAAGACCTTTGAGACATCTGAGATCTCTGAGACCTCTGAGACTTCTGAGACATCTGAGACATCTAAGACCTCTGAGACCATTGAGAAGTCTGTTAGTTGTATGGTGGCTGTTCACTTTGTTCTCGCGTCTGGCGTGCGTTCGATCTGCACACGTACAATGGGTTTCGTGATGTTTTGCGTGAGCGATCGTATGAACACGATTGGGGTCGCCGCCATTAATGCCAATTCAATCGGCATTCATTGCTGTTGCCATGTCCACTTCTACCACATGTGGCATTCTGCCCTGGATAAATATTGATCGGTAAATATACATTAGTCATTACTGCGATATGACAGAAAACGATAATATGAAAACCGATATGCGAACGCAGCGCTCTAACTATATACAGTGGTGATTGAGGGGACCTCGAGATCAGAACGCCAAAATGAAAGTTCTGAGTGAATAATTATAGGAAAAAATTTTAAGAAATAATATCTGACAATATATGATTGTGGATGTAATTATTATGGCTTTAGCTAAGTATCGAAATCGAGTAGAAAAATATGTCCTCATGTTGTAAAAATAGGAGACATTACATCCGGATTACAAGGTTCCGGGAAGCATAACGTAGCATAGATCGTGGAGGGTATACATTACGCCTGGAAATTTACTTTTTGCGATTTCATGATTTCTGGTACATATATATATATATAGGCTTTGGATTCATATTAAAATTGAAAATGTAGCAGTTCCATAACTTAATATATTGATATTCAGTTAATTTGATTTTACTAATTGCTTTGTTAATGTTATCCGCGTATACGACACACCACATAAGCACATAAGAATTTGTCGCTTCTACCACACCAGCAGCAGCAGCATAATTATGTCAGCGTTAAGGGCAATCAATTAGGTCATCATAATAAACATCTTTCATTCCACTTAGCCTAAAATCATTATTTATTATATATATATATATTTATATATAATAAAATATATAATATATAATAATACTACCTATATATAATTATAGTATATATATATATATATACTATATATATATATATATAATATAGCCTAGTATATATATATACCTATATATATATAATAGAGAGAGAGAGAAGAAGAGAGAGAGAGAGAGACAACATCGTATGACCCAGTTGCAAGGGCGTCATGAAATAATAAGTTCTGCCTGCATATATTATTCAACTAATATTGACCGTAGCGAACAGGACGCTTATACAAACAAATGACGAGTGAAGCACACTCTGCAAGTGAGGTGTGAGTGAAGCACTGTATGGGCGCGGTTGGCCAACACACGTTTTTGAGTTACTTAACGCAGATGGGGTCGTTGTCGTATCAGGTACTACCGATATGTACCCGAGGTAGTTTGAGGTTGTTTAGTATTATGTTTATATTTTTATATGAGGTATGTTTAGGGTTAGGGTAGGGTTAGGGTTATGGTTAGGGCTAGGGTTTTGGGTTAGGGCTAGGGTTAGGGTTAGGGTTAGGGTACACTTCTGTAGTACAAGTCTGGTACACTTTGTGTATACATATATGTACCAGGCTACATATCTGTAGTACCTGATACGACAAAGACCCCTTGAGCCTAATTAACTGCTATTAAACAGTAAGTCCGATACACGGGCTCGTTGCAGTGACCTTCAAAATGCCAACACTCTCGTACTAGGACTCTCTACTAAATTTAACTCTACAAGTATCTGTTAAAACGCATTTTCGCATTGTTCGGATCGTTAACATTTTCGTATCATTGTAATATCTCTTCCATGTCTAAACACTTTTGCGAATATAAAATGGAGGTACAGTGTTAGAAAAGTCGTGGCCCTTGCGGGTACTTTGAAATCACTGGTGCTCCGCTTGGTCGCACACACCGGTGGCACCGCTGCGACCGTGACAAAAGACACTATACCGTTTGCCGTCACGTTGAATACTTCCCAGACCCGCCCCATCTCCCACGCGCGAGGAGCTAGGGTGAATATTCTCCCCTAGAATTCCTGTATAAAGCTAGGTATACACTATTTTCACTTGTATGTAATAGCCCCAGGTCGATAATCGAGAAAATAGGGAGCGATTGAGCGTAGCTATTTGTTCTTTGCCGCGCGGTGCCTGTATACACATAAGCCCGCTATTCATGCAGTGTGCGCAGACCCGAGACCGCGTCGATACAGCACACCTGGGGCTTGCCTCTGGAAAATTGCTAGTCTGGAGCATACCTACATGAGCATAGGAGTGAAAAAAAGTAGCGGGAAAGGCTTGATATACAAGGAAACGGAGGCATACCCGGACTGGGGCGAGGCAGAAACCGCGACTTGCAAGCACACGATTGATCAATCAGGCAAGTGAATTTGCTATTACCAGAGATTTCTTCCAGAAACCAACCACGTAAAAAATATATCGTAAAAAATAAAAAAAATATATGCGTCCATACGCAGGTATGGACAGAGACAGCGAAAGGCGAATATCTATGTACCGGATTTTAAATGCGCCCGAATGAAGTTTCGTCAATACTTTAGTATAAAGCAGAATATTTTGTTATAAATATATATATATATATATATATATATTTATTTATTTATTTATATATATATATATAAGTAAAGTCACACACGAACACCCGTGTAGATAAAAACAAAGTCAAAGTATAAAATAAGGGTGTTTAAAATTTTAAACACTCTTATTCTATACGTTGACTTTGTTTATATATATATATATATGAGTGTGTGTGTCTCTCTCTCTCTCTCTCTCTCTCTCTGTGTGTGTGTGTGTGTGTGTGTGTGTGTGTGTGTGTGTGTGTGTGTGTGCTGTGTGTGTGTGTGTGTGTGTGTGTGTGTGTGTATGTGTGTGTGTTTGTGGCGTGCGTGCGTTGCGTGGCTGTGTGCGTGCGTGCGTGCGCCGTGCCATGTGTGTGTGTGTGTGTGTGTGTGTGTGTGTGTGTGTGTGTGTGTGTGTGTGTGTGTGTGTGTGTGTGTGTGTGTGTGTACGTGTGTGTTCTCGAGTTGAATAACACACGTGCATAATAGGCATCGGCATGCACATCCTTACAAACGGTTTTCCGAGGCGAAAATCATCATATGTCAGTCGTGCGCATTTAATACATTACATATCTGCGTATTTTTTCGTGCTATAAAACGATACATGCGCGTGGGAGTCGCATCACGGACGTCATCGGAGCACGATGAATCAGCAAAAAACAGCTAGTGAATAGAACGCATGCGCCTTGTTGACTGACATTAGAACTGGGCTGCAGAGACCAGCTCAGCGCATATTTCTATCCTGAGTATCCCGCTTTTCTTTGTTGAACCACATATCCTGCTTGCAAAATCGGCGTCACGTTTTTTTCCGCTTTTTTGTCTGAAATAAACGCCGGAGAATGTGTCGTTATAGTCGAAACGGTGATAAGGTGGAAATGATTCCTACAGTGCGATAAATAAAGCGAAGTTTAACTAATTGTGTAAAGTGGGCGAATCGGATGGCTTTGCAATGGAGGACTGACTACCAGCGTTGCGCTGATTCTTTCTCCTAGGGTGATATTTTCTTTACGGTGATCCGTTTTCTTTGGCAGTTATTCCATTTTTCTAACACACACACACATGCGCGCGCGGACACACACACACACACACACACGCCGCGCGCGCGCGCGGACACACACACACACACACACACACGCGCGCGCCGCGCGCGTGGACACACACACACACACGCGCGCCGCGCGCGTGGACACACACACATACACGCGCGCGCGCGCTCGCGTGCGCGGATGGACGGACTGATGGACGGACGGACGGACTGACGGACGGACAGGCAGAGAGACAGATAAATAGGTTTATGTATGTGTACGCTCAACGTTCTATTGCCGTAAACCGGTGTAGACGTTATTTTAACAGCTTCTTCCCGATTTCACAGGCCGAAAATAAAGAAGTGTAGCTGTACCCTGAGGATTGTCTGACGGTCATGTCTTCAATTATCTTTCTGGCGCTCTGTGCTCTACAGGTAGTGACGTTGGTAAGTGACGTAGATTCCGCAAAAAGGATACCTCACAGTTTCCATGAAAAAATCCAACTGCGCCCATGTCTCCCATCATAGCATAATGAATGCACACAGAATAATCTACGCATATTTTTGGCGGGAATAGGCTTAAAGGCGCGTTTTGTGAGCAATGCGTTTATACTGTGTTTGAACTTATTTCCTTCTTTTCTTGCTACGGTTGCTTACCAGCCATACACGTCACACGCCACACAGCTAACGGAGCTGCTTGGCACGCTGGATAAACAGACGATCTGCCTTTTAAAATACGAGCAAAGCGCTTTTGCTCAGGAAAACACGCCTGTAACGCCGTCATTTTTACGTGATAGGTTAGAGCCAATGGATGCTACGACTACGTTAAAGTTCTGGCAAAGAATGACATGGAGTTGGATTCTCGCGTTGACCTCAAGAACTTTCTCATTCTCGAGCAAGATGTCACTCAGACGCAGTTTGTTGAGAGCATGACCATAGCGCCCTCGACCGGCAAAAAATCTTCATGCGGCAACACACGGTATAACAGTGACAGCCGTAAACATTAATGTACATCACACGATACGATATATAGGGTGTCATAGAATATCTGTGACGACAACGTTCAATTATAACGAAATACATGCACACCTTTACACGGCAATAGTTAATAAACAGATATACAGATAATAAACTGATATGCAGATATAATAAGCAGATGAATTATAATAAGCAATTATTCATAAAATCAAGACCGTATAAAGTAGGTTCTTTATACTTCTTTACTTTCTTTACTTTCTATACTTCTTTATACGCTCTTGATAAAGTTGCATTCACGATGGAATTCCAACAAACGATGGAAAGATTCAAATTTTATGCGATGATAAGCCAAACAAATTCGTTTTAGTTAATTTCATAGTTAGTTCATCCGCCGTCTCTCACGATAGGTATATATAAAGTTGGACGGATGTTGTTACCGATATAATAGTGAATATTCTTTACAAGTCTCTGTTGGTTTTACAAGTCGGCGCATACACATAGTAAAATGAATGATTTGTTTCATGGCATGTTCTAGGTCGTGGATCTGCGAACTTTATGAAGGCTTGCCACCGCAGTACGATGAGCTCAAATACAGAGGTTAGTGACGTACACAGTAAATGAATGAATGAATGAATGAATGAATGAATGAATGAATGAATGAATGAATGAATGAATGAATGAATGAATGAATGAATGAATAAATGAATGAATGAATGAACGGTCGGACTGGCGGGCGGGCGGAAGGGCGGGCGGCGCGGCGGTCGGTGGCGGCGGATGGATGGTATGGTGGATGGATGGATGGATGGATGGGTGGATGGATGATGATGGATGGATCGAGGGATGGACGATTGTGAATGGATGTGATGGATGGATGGATGGATGGATGGATGGATGGATGGATGGATGGATGAATGGATAGAGATGGATATGATGGCATGGATGATGGATGGATGGATGGATGGTATGGGATGGATGGATGGATGGATGGATGGATGGATGGATGGATGGATGGATGGATGGATGGATGGATTGGGTGGATCAATGGATGGATAGATGGATGAATGGAGAGTGAATTAATGATAAATAGCACGAAAATTAATGTACGTATGGACTATGAACGAATGGGTAGAATAAAAAATGTTTTAGAAATCGTGTCATTTATATATTATAATTATTTTCATTACATTAATTCATATATATATATATATATATATATATATATATTATATATATATTACATGTTATATCGTGTCATAGTCATCGTCGTCTAGTAATCGAACTGCGTGTTCTTGCAGGCATGTCAAAGTCCGGTTTTAATAATTATATTGGAAAAAATCTCGTTGATCTGTTTGACAAAAATTTGGACAGCGATCAAGTAATCCTCTACAAGATGCAAATCGTCGGCCCCTTAGATCACGTGTGGCTGATAGAGCAGCTCCCAGGAAATAAATACAGGTGATTATACCGTATACAAATATTTATATATATATATACATATTTCTGTTACATCTGTTATTATTCGTTTGCAATGCATATACTTACCTTTAGCACTTACCTGCTAAGCGCGCTATTTTCGTGGGTATATTTTTCAACGAAGAGTTACAGTCTTATTGCTACTTACTTTGCTACCTTATATGTACTTACCTATAGCACAAACCCTGCTAAAATCGCGCTATTTCGATATGCACAGGGTGTATCAGAGCTACAACAATGCCTACTCGCTGACGGCCTGGCTGAGCGACAGCACTGATGGACTGTTCGGCAAACACATCATCATCTGGCAAGAGGTCATCGACATGGCCAACTCCTTCATCTCGCAGTTCGGCTGCACCCTGGACACACTCGATTCCTGCCCGAACGAACTCAACTGGGGGACGGAGTGGATGGCATACATCCGCGACTACGACGAAGAACAGGCCGTCGCAAACTTCGAGGCCGCGTGGAAAAACTTCGGCAAGGGCGTGTTGTTGGACAAGACAGACTTCTACGACATGTACCTGTACAAGCTAGGCAACCTGACGGCGGGTATAGAGCCGATGGTGGGCACGACAACACCGTGGTCACAGCAGCAACACGATACGTGGATCTCACTGTTTGCCAGCCCCAACCCACTCTGCTACCCCGGAGTGCCCTTCAACACACTCACGCCTACCACTAACGGACCGTACGAGATGCAGGTGAAGGCGGATAAGTTCGGGAGCGTTAGTAACGACGGCACGTGTAACGAGAACTACAAGCTACTCGGCTATACCATCGACGGCTGGACGGATCCGATAAACTCTGGAACTCACCTCCAGGTGTCGCTCGCTGTTATGTTGGCCGCAACCATTGCAAACACCAATGTGTGGGTACATTTGGTAGAATAAAAAATTAAATAAAAAAAAGACTGTAGGCTTAGCCTGATGGACGCAAAGAAATATATTTTACGCAGCGCGATAAAATAACGCAGAGAAAGATTTCGTAATAGCTTTGGCAATAATTATATATGTAGAGAGAGAGATAGACCTATGTTTTATTGACGAATTATATATAGGATATATATATATATATATATATATATATATCTCGTATAGAGTATCATTTGAAATATGTGTGGTATATTGTAAACGTACTTATTATACTAAATCAAGGCTGTATTGAAAACATGTCATTTCGTTACTATATTGACAGCTATAGTTGGTAAAAAATGAATGGCGTATACTTCATACTAAAACCGCGAAAAGAGTCATATTGTTTCGACTAGGATACAGGCTAAATATAATGGTTGTCAATAATTCTGCATGCCGGCTCACGTCTTTGTTTCGTTGGTAGTATTCTGGAAAGCGAGTAGAAAAGACTCGTGAGATAGATTATGGATTATAGATTATTATATAGTAGATGGGTTCATGCTACTCTCATCCCGGTTAAAATACGGGTCACATTTACAGGCATAAATCTACTTACGGCGTGAATTAGAAACAGATATGTAACTATAATTATAGCCAAGCGCGCACGATGCTGCGAAAAACACGGATTTTGCATCACGTAGGCCTATAACTCATGTGTGTTGTCGTTAACTCATATAGTGTATTTTTCATTGTTTCGTCACAGATTATATGTATGTATGATAATACGTGCGCGCGGACGTGCGTGCGTGAATGCGTGTGCGCGTCTTTATAATACACACATATCTAATAAACAGACATGACTCGAGTAGTAATGATGTCAGTCATACATGATTGTTTAACATTTCAATAGCTTAAGGCGTTGATAAGAAGAAGAAGAAGAAGAAGAAGAAGAAGAAGAAGAAGAAGAAGAAGGAAGAGAAGAAGAGAGAGAAGAAGAAGGGAAGAAGAAGGAAAGAAAGAAGAAGAAGAAGAAGAGAGAAGAGAATAAGAAGAAAGAAGAAGAGAAGAAGAAGAAGAAGGCAAAGAAGCAAGAAGCAAGAAAAGAAGAAGGAAGAAAAGAAGAGGCAAGAAGAAAGAAGAAGAAAGAAGAGAGAAGAAGAGAAAGAAGAAGAAAAAGGAAGAAGAAGAAGAAGAAGAAAAAGAAGAAGAAGAAGAAAGTATGTTTCATCGACCGAATGTTAAATCAAGAGAGAACTTCACTTTAGCGTATTGGTTAATTGAAATTTCAAATCAAATGTTGACCCTACTTAATACCAACTTCTTCAAAAATTAAACTGGCAGAATGGTATTATACTGCCTATGTCTATTTTGTATCCTGCACCACATAGCATGAGATATTTATTGACTTTATTTCTAGTGTTTCTTTCGATTCTAAGTAAAATCAGGCTATTGTGGCCATATGTTTTTATACAGCCGTAGTCAGACTAGAACAATTTAAACCTGTTACAAGGTGAACGCGGATTTTGCCTAAAACACAATTAAACTGGGTTTACGACTGGCAACTTGGTATTGGCGAATTGTCGAATTGGACCAACTCCCAACCGCTCTATAGCCGTTTCTAATGAACTGTACAGCGCGTTTACACTGACGAGCTGCCACTTGATCGAACGGGTCAGGCGTCGACCGCGAGCGTACGCGTGGGGCGATGGATATAGGCATTATTGCAAGTATAAATTATTGCATTATTGCATCAAGAGTCCATATCCCCGTCTCCACTGTAGTAGCTTGTAGTCGGACGAGACGAGATTATATTTTCTCTCGAAGCTTCGCTCTACAGATGTCTACTACAGAGCGCTACTATAGATTCGCCGATGAATCTAAATAGCAGAGAAATTCCCACCCTCCATATATATATCGCGTATATTACTGCTCTTCATTTTTCGCTTTCCCATGCTTTCCTTCTCCCTCTCGCTCCACATTCCCCTCTCCTTTCCGTCTCCTTTTCTCTCTCTCTCTTCTGTTTTCTCTACTCGCATACTACATACACCTGCGTACTAAGGGGCGGCAAAGGGGCCATGGCGCCCCTGTTGATTGGCAAACAAAACAAAAAAAACAATTTTCCTTGCCTCTCACGCGTCTTCACAGACTGGCCACAATTCCTGATACTCTGCATCTGCTGAACAACATTCTCTAAAATGAGCATTGTCTAAGTCTAACTTCGTTCTATACAATGACTCAGCCACGATTCTCTGCTCTCATCTCTCTTTTCGGTTGAAACAAAGTTAAGTGATGACATTTAAATGTCAAGAAATCCTCCAAAAGTTCTGTGTAAAGCAAAAATCGGACGAGTAAACTTGACTTGGATTTTGAGATTTTGCAGCAGAACAAACATGACTTAATAAGAAAGGAGATAATTTCTTCTTTGCTTCAGATTTGTGTTGTTGCAAGTGCTTTGATTGAATGTATGGTTCTGCACTCTATGACGAAGAAAAGCAAATTGGAAATGCTTTGTGAATAACTTGATAAATTCGAACTTATAGACGGCCATTTTTGGCATCCACCTCGGTTTTTATTTCAAATCCGCATTTCAACACTATTTTAAGTAATCTGTTCTCATATCAGGGGAAGGCAAAACAATCTTTCGATGTAAATTTCCTTTTTATTTTAATAGAGCGGGCTATTCTGCACTACTTTAGTTTTTATTTGAAATCAAATTTCAATATTGGTTGTGAGTTTCTTCATCAGAGAAAGAAAAACATTTTTATAACGAACAAATGTTAAGTGTGATCTTAACGCTATTGTAGTCCTAAACCGGAATACAATTGTTTTAATATTCTTTTGTAATTAAATAAATGCATGTTACTTCAGTCGTTCCAAACCACATCTACCTGTTTGTCGCCGTAGATTTTTATTTCGATTTCATTCAATATGACCTAACATTTTTAAAAAATAATTTTAGCATTTTAACTTTTATATGAGGAATGAACAGTTTATGCGGAAAACATGCAACATTGCATGTACTGGCTAACAAACAAATCAAACTAATCCAATATTCGTCAGTGCTTGAATGAGGACTATAGCGTAGCTAAGGGGGGCACAAGAGCCATTAGACCCCCTACTTGATCGGAGAGTAGCAAAGAATTAAGAGAGAAGGGCCGCTTAATGGATTGGTCCTATACACTATTACCATATTACTAATAATGAAAATGAAATGCGCAAAAATGCCATTTTGAATGCACATATGTTTCCAATAATTACCACTACCTGTGGAGGGGAAACACCTCCCCCGTGAGAAATTGGCTTCTCGTTGTCTTTGGTACGCATAACTGTCTTTTCTTCCCACCCGACTGCTTCCCTGAAAAACACTGGCTTCGTACATCCATTTTCACTGGTCAGGGCTAAGGGTCCACCAACATGTCGTGGTGTAACCCAGCGCCTTCCGGCGCCCACAGCCAGGGGCCATCGTCCCGCACGTTTGATCGGATCGGAGGTGGAAAAAATAAAAGCGAGGGAGGGGGTTATAATAGAGGGATGTGCATTCCACTTTCTCATATAAGTACCCCTAATATACTGAATTTATTGGGGAAAATGCCATTTTCATGCACGATTTTTCAAAAATCTCCACTAACCGTTGAGGGGGGATTACCCCCACACCCTACCGCCTCGTCGCTTCGCTCCGCTCGCCTTGGCGCCTCCCTGTTTTCCCATTGCTGGCTACGCCATTGCAAGACAATGAATGTTTGCATGAATTTGCGGATTTTAACTCGTCCGTTGATCTTGCAGTCCTTGTAGTATTACTGTCTAACTTAAGGTGAGAGGGAGAGAGATCAAGAGTGAGCAAGAGAGGAGATAGGAGGAGAGGAGAGAGAGAGAGAGAGAGAGAGAGAGAGAGAGAGATAGAGAGAGAGAGGAAGAGAGAGAGCAAGAGAGAGAGCGGGAGGGAGGGAGAGAGAGAGAGAAAGAGAGAGAAGGAGAGCAAGAGAGAGGAGAGAGGAGAGATGAGAGAAGATGAGATGAGCGAGAGAGAGAGAGCCGAGAGAGGTGAGAGGGAGAGAGAAGAGTGCAAGAGAGAGAGATAAGAGATAGCGAGAAGAGAGCAGAGAAGAGAGGTAGGGTGAGAGAGTGAGAGAGGTAGGGTGAGCGAGAGAGAGAGAGGTAGGGTGATAGAGAGTGAGAGAGAGAGATAGAGAAGAGAGAACGAGAGAGAGTAGAGAGAGAGAGAGAGAGAGGAGGAGAGATGAGAGAGAGAGAGGTGGGAGGGAGAGAGAGAAGAGAGAGAGAAGCAGAGACCGAGAGAGCAAGGAGATGGAGAGAGATGGAGAGAGAGAGAGAGAGAGAGAGGAGAGAGAGAGAGGAGAGGAGAGCGAGAGCGAGAGAGAGGTGGGAGGAAGATGAGAGAGAGAGAGAGCAGAGAGAAGAGAGAGATAGAGACGGAGCGGAGAGAGAGAGAGAGAGAGAACAGAGAGAGGCGAGAGAGAGAGAGAGCAGAGCGGGGGGGGGGTGCGGCCACTGACGGGATCCCCATATCCGTAAGCTAGGCTGCCGCCACGTCCGCTACCGATCGAAGTCAGTGAGTGCCCTGAACCAGCCTCTGTACCCAGCTCCTGTAACCTATACTAGTGACGCACCCACTGACACCATGCCCTCTGCACCTGCGCAGCGCGTCGATCTCTATCAATCCTGTTCTATGAACTGTGTTGCAGCGCGTTTACACTGACGACTGCGAGTTGGCGCGACTCGATCGAGCGGTCAGCGTCGACCGGAACGTACGCGTGGGCGTTGGATTATAGGTTAGGGTATATATATATATAAATAATATATAATATATATATATATACCCTATATAATATTATATATAATTATACCCTAACCTATAGTATATATATATATAATATACCTACACCACGACGGCCGTGTAAACGTGTGTGTTGTGTGGTTTAGGGTAGGGGTTGAGGGTAGGGGTGTAGGGTGAGGGTGATCATTACCACTAACCCTATATATATATATACCCTAAACCCTAATAAATGTATTATATATTAGGGTAGGGTATATATATTATATATATGGGTTAGGGTATACTATATAGTATATACCTCACCCTAACCCCTAACCCCTACCCTAGGACCACAGAACACACCCACGTTACACGCGTGCTCGCAGAGTAGCACGCGTGCGTGCACGTAACACGCATGGCGTCACCATACACGCATGGCGCGCAACGTACCCGCGTGGTGCACACTACCACGCGTGGCGTGCACATACACGCGTACCGCGCACATAAACACCACGTATGCTCGCACATACACATCGCACGATGCGGTCATGTGCATTCTGTCACTGCAGATACATTCCCGTGCACCTATGTATCGCAGGCCGCAGGTACACCGCGCGTGTATGTAAGCGCATGCGCGCGTGGCAGCGATAAGGAGCTCGGCCTTCACGCTCTTGGACAACCCAATGCGCTCGTGGCAACACGGCATCCTGCACTGCTGTTGACTCGTCACGAGTCTTTGCGCCTGTTGGCGTGCGGAACGTCAGAGTCGTGTTAGCTCCTTGCCTACCCGCAGAGTTGTGGTATTACAACATCTGCTGAGTTCTGTCTGTACGGAGGCGGATGTGCCATCGTCGTCATCGTAGTTGTGTTATTAGTTGTTGTTGTTGTTTGTTTGTTCTGCTGTTTCTTGTGGCGGCGGCAATGGAGAGGAGAACAGGATAAGTAGAAGCGAATGTCTGGGGATCGCGGGATGAGGATCAGTGAGTTGGGTATTTTAGCGACGGGTGCGGAGCAGATGATTAATGGTTTGGATTTCGGTGCGATACTCCTTCCTCGACTTCGTGTTTTCCTCTCTAGAAGTTTGTGTACGC